CACACTACAAACACATTTTTATTTAGCAGAGAAGAGGGTTTATATCAAACAGTTCCTTGAATGGAGTGAGGAGGAAGTGAGTACTAGTATATATGCTTATACGCACAAATGTCAATTTATTCCAAAGCTAGAACCTAGCTGATAAGTGCAACCTGGTGTCAGAATTTACAATGCCTTCGGGGCTCATTTTTTATAAAATGGGATGGATTTCCTACGACACCTTCTGAAACCCTTACCCTTGTCTAACAGGCAAACTTTTGATCACAGCAGGAGACAGGTGGGTGTGTCCTTTTCTAGATGCAGGAAGAAATTCTTGGAGAATCATCACAGAATCCTTCCTCCTATGAGTGTGTCTAAGGAAGAGCTGAGTGTAACTACATTTTCTATGCCCTTTTCCTTTCAAGAGTAAGGGAGCTGAACCTGATTTTCTTCTGAGCAGTGGCATGGCAGTACAGTCAGGACTTCCTTGCCCCCCAGGGCTCAAACAGCCCAGCCCTCTTCCATTTGAACTTAGTTGGAGAAAATTCAGGAATTTCAGATGAATTCCAAAAACATTATAAAATGTTGGTAAAAGAGCTCTCTCATTTTGATCAGTGGTGGTAAAAGACCCACCTGTTAGACCCATGCTCAATAAATGGTGCTCAAAAACATATGAACACTTAGAATTCATCCCTAAATTATTGTTTGCTTTTTCAAGGGGGCAATGGCAAAGGTGGGCAGAGAGAGCACTTCAAATCTTTCTCAGTGATGATCCCTCAAGAAGTTAGAATTTTCTAATATTCCTGGAATAAGTAAGAAAAAAAATTTTGACTGAAATTCGGGTTGCAAATTTTGATCAGAGTTGCTGATTTTCTAGTGCCCTTAAAACTACTAAAGAAAAGGGAGATGAGCAGCTGTCTCCTCAATTCTGCCTGAAATCTATACAGTATCACAGCAGCAGATGACTTTTTCTGGGATCCTTCCTGGGAACCTGGATTGTCTGCCTTATCTTGAGTGGTTTTGCTTACATCTTGGCCTAAAAGTATTCAAATATTGATTGGTGTTTATTTCAGTGACAACTGTGTATGTTTGTTTCCTGTACATCTGCAGCATGTTTGTGGAATGAGGCTGTTTCCCAGCCAAGCAAGAGAACTGTGAGATTGACCAGGGTAACTTAATGAAAGGATCATGCCCAGTCTCTCTACTCCACCTTCCAGTTTCCTGAATTGGGATTTAGGGTGTTGGTGGTGGGAGATACTATGAATTTGGGGGTTGGCACAATATCTTCTTTTGCATATGTAACCAATAGAGTACCAGTTGCTCATAGATAATACGTTAGTTGAATTTGCTGAATTATGTTTTTTGTGCAACTGGGATAAACAGTTAAAATTAAACCTCCCAGAGCTAATTGTTGTGTAGAATAAGGTTTGTTTTATTTTGAGTTTTTGCTGACTTCATCGGGGAGGATGAATGCCAAAATAAAAGAATGTGGGCGTTCTCAGGAGATCTGGTCATCTACTTTTCATCCTCTCTGAAATATGTTACTTCCTGCATAATGAAGTAAAAGGGTTTTTCTGCTGGGCAGTGCTTTCCTTATCCTCACAAAGAGATTACTTAAAAGCCAGCCATGGGAACTTTGTCCACAAGTCTCTATTAGGAAGAAAGTTATACAGGACTGCAGCTTCTGTGCATTCACTGGCTATTGCCCATAAGTGCGGGGTCTTTCTCTTACTGCCTCTTATATTTTTTTCTCCCACAGGGATGAAAAATAAATAGTTTTAAACATGACATTCATGTTCAGAACCACAGCAAAGACTTATCATACAGCAACCATGAAGGGGAGGCAGAAAATAAGCTATTGATACGGCTTGTTTTTCTTTGTACAAGACAGGTGCAGGGAGAATTCTGCAGTTTTTGGACTCGTGATTCATTCACTTCCACTAATTTTGCTGAAGGTAGTTAGCAAAAGTGAACAGGCACACTGTAGCTTTAAAAAGTCAGCCATGAACCAGAAGGCAGTTGGTGCAGCTTGTGTGTGATTCCTAACGTCATGTTGGCTGAGAGCCAGCCTGGTTTTATTTCACTGTGTCAAATTGTACCTCCTTATTGAATTCCTTTGCCAGCCTACTTTGTGAAAGAAAACATTGGGGTTTCTTTGGCTGTTCTTGATAAGCCTATAAAAAATGACATGTTTTAGTTGCTTCTAGGTAGGTTTTTTTTTTTTTTTACTCTTCCACAAAAAAAGAAAATAATAATAATAATAAGACAATGTAGTGTGGTGTTACAGCATATCATTGTGTTTTGTTTTGTTTTCTGGGATGCTTAGAAAATGGTGAATATGTAACAGTTTCCAACTGAAGTGAAATCATTCTTTTGGCATGGAGCAGCAGCACTATCTTCTGTCTACTCTGTTACGGTGTGTGAATGTATGTTAATATCTATATGTATACGGAATGTTGGATTTCTCTATGAATGATCTAAGTGGTATAGCAACTGGAAGTTTGTGTGTATGCGTGTGTGTGTCAGTGTATCAGGGGTGAAGATTATCCCACACTTACAGTATTATTTGTTAATCATCTACTTCTCTAACAGTGACAAAATCTTGTGAATATACTAAATGATGTACTTGTCATGTCAGAGTAATCCCTAGAGAATGAGTGCCGAAGTATAAAGTGATTTGAGAGGAAATGTATTTAATTTATGGCTTCAGCTGTAGAAGAACAAGCACGTTTCAGAACTAGTTTTTTTTTTTAAAGCAGTTTATTCCTAGCTTTTTGATCTTGCTAATTGCATATTAATTGTGGAAGGTTTTTATTTTTTTCACAGTTCTAATCCTATTAAACAAAAAGACTAAAGTGATGGATGCTGTTATTTTCCTTGAATGATTTGGTGATTTTTACATAAATCTAATTAGCTGCATACCCTCTCTTACTCACACACACACACACACACACACACACACACACACACACACACACCACCTTTCTATGCTAAGGGCTCTCTGACATTTTGCAAGCTTTAGCTTTACCAACGGCATGGCCATAGCACAGGTTTCTGAGGCTTTCGCTGAGGGTATGTGAGGAAGTGGGATACTTGCTGACAAAAGCTTTAAGTGCTCTTTTGCATTTCAATGAAAAAAACATATAGAAAGAGTGGGAGTGGACCAAAAAAAATGTAATAAGGAGAAAAAAGAAAAACAGCCCACGGTGGGAAGGGGCAGGAAAAGGGGGATTGTTTTTCTGACTTTGACTCATTTATGAGTTGCAATGTCTTAAGTGAGAGCTTGGCACCCAGAGGAAGCTGTGCCAGTTCACACAGCACTTGTTTTGAACAAGGATTCAATTTCATTTGCAAATGCTTATTGTCAAGGCAGGGAGTGCCAGTACAGATGAAAGCACCCCAACCCATCTCCTCTAGTTCTTTAGGTTTAATCACATCTCTCCAATCGCTGAGGGAACTGGAGATTTAAACAAACATACGTGAGCTGGTGTGAAGCTGTGAAAGGAACCATTATGTTTCCGATTCAGACTATATATTCTTCTCTCACTTTCTAAGAATTAAACACAAGCTTTTCTCCCTTATTGATTAGTTGCTGAAGTAAAGGAACCCTGCAGCCTTCCCATGCTATCTGTTGACATGGAAAACAAGGAAAATGGCTCTGTCGGTGTAAAAAAGTAAGTGAAACTGGCTTATGAGTTCTGCTTCTGCAAACAACAGAGGGACTTGGTTTCTATTTTTATACTTCTTGCTTATCTAGTACAAGACACTGTTTGGGGCTTGTCTTGGTTGGTCTACACTGGCCACCAGCCTCCCTTCTCCCCCCATCCCCAGTTGCCTTTTTCTATATTCCATTTCTAAGACAAAGATGACTCAGACATCAAACTGTGCATAAAGGGGTTAGTGTATCAGGCTTTGGAACAGTGACGGTTGAGGATTTCTGCCCTGCATTCTGTATATGGAAACAAGAACATGGAGCAAACACAGACTCTGCCTTCAAGTCCATAGGCTACAAGCAAGGGTGGGGCAGAAAATACTGTTCAAGTCTTTTTAAATAAAATCACCTCTCTCAAAACAGAGAGCTATACTGAGGGATGAAATAGAGCTTCAGTGAAAATACTGTTTTAACAACTTCTCTGTCCTAATTTTAAGAACTTTTCTTTGACTATGAAACATGTCAGTGTATGCCATAGTGCTGTATTTTAATGTCTGTTCTCACATTTGAAACTTCTGATTATATTTGCTGTGAATTACATGCTTGATTCTTTTAAATAGGAAAATTCAGTTGCCTTATGTAGCACATTCTGAAACAGAACAAAAAGTTAATTCACAAGATATCTGTGAGTATATGAAAAAATATATATTCTCAATTAGGAGTAATATTGACTCTAGTCACTCTGATTAGAAGGATAAAGTAAGTTCCAAGTGGGTGTTATCTGTTTCATTTCTTTCCATGTCATTTAGTTTAAAATTGCCTTCAACTTGAGCTTTGGAGAAAACTAATTAAACGTAATCATAGAAACTGTGATATCTAAATGAGGAAAACGGTGTGATATATATATATATATATATATGTATATATATATATATACACACACACATATATGAATAGAAGGTATATTTTACATTAAAGTTACATTAAACATTAAAATTTGCTTTCTAAAATTCTCAGGTAATTTATGTATCTGTGCAATGCTGCCATGGTTATTCCTATTCTTAAAGTTTAGGGTAGGTAGATATAGGAGGAATGAAAGAAACAGATGCTTTTCCAATGTATGTGTTAGATCAGTGCTGTCCAATAGTGCTTTGAGCAGGGATAAACATGTTTTATACTTGTGCTGTCCAAAATGGCAGCCAGTAGCCACTTGTAGCTATTAAAAACTTGAAATGTGACTAGTGTAACTGATGAACTGAACTTTTAACTTTACTCAATCCATTTTAAAAGTTCACAGCTTTATTGAAATATAATTGACATATCGTAAACTACATACATTTAAAATATAAAATTTCCTAAGTTCGGACATTTGTATGTATCCGTGAAACCATTACCACGATTAAGATAATGCACATATCCATCATTCTAAAGTTTCCTCATAACCCTTTGTATTCTCTCCCCACCCCCTTCCCTGCCCACATCTCCCCAGGTGACCACTGATACGTTATTTGTCACTATAGATTAGTTTACTTTTTCTAGAGTTTGTATAAATGGAGATATTCAGGATGTACTTTTTTGGGGTGGAGAGGGGTCTGGTTTCTTTCACCCAGGATAATTAATTTAAGATTCATTCATGTTATAGTGTGTATCGATAGTTCATTACTTTGTATTACTGAGTACTATTTATTGTATGGATACACCAATTTGTTCACTGTTTATCCATCTATTTGTTGGTAAACATTTGGGTTGTTTCCATTTTTTAGGTATTACAAATAAAGCTGCTTTGACCATTTGTGTACAGGTCTATGTGTGGATGTATACATTCATTTCTCTTGGATAAATATTTAGGAATGGAATGACTGGGCTACATGGTAGGTGTATGTTTAACTTTTTAAAACACTGCCAAAATTTTTTTTAAATAAAAATAAAAACGTGCCACACTGTTTTCCAAACTGGTTGTCCCATTTTATATTCCTACCAGCAGTGTGAGGGCATTCCAGTTTTTTATCCTCACAAACTGGGTGTGATCAGTCTTTTTCATATTAAATAATATAAATTTTAGGTGTGGTTTTAATTTTCATTTCCCTAAGGATTTATGATGTTGGGCGTCTTTTCAGGTGCTTATTTACCAACCACATATCTCGTTAAGTATTATTGGAATCTTCTGCCCAACTTTTCATTGGGCTAGTTTTTAAGAGTATATTATTGTGTAGAGAGTTTTTGTATATTCTGAATACAAGTCCTTTACCATCTACATGATTTAAAAATGTTTTCATGCATGTGACTTGTCTTTTCATTCTCTCCATGGTGTCTTTCAAAGTGCAGAAGTTTTTAATTTTGATGAAGTCCAGTTTATCAATTTTTTATTTTATGGATAGTGCTTTTAGTGTCATAGCTAAAAAATATTTGTCTAACCCAAGGTCACAAAGATTTTTCTCTTGTGTGTTCTTAGATTTGTGACTATGATTTTTTAATTAATTTTTGTGGACTGTGTGAGATAAGAATTAAAGTGTTTCTATTGATGGTGGTGGTGGTACTAATAGTAGCAGTAGTTATTGTTTTTTGCCTTTGGATATCCAATTTTTCCAGCATCATTTGTTGAATTGTTCCTGCAACTTTGTTGAGAAATCATTGATCATATATATGTGTGGATCTATTTCTGGGCTCTCTATTTTATTGCATTGATATTTTTGTATATATTTATGCAAATAACACTGTTTTGATAACTACAGCTTTATGATAAATCTTGAAATCAGGTAGTGTTATCCACCCAACTGTGTTGTTTTTTAAACTCGTTTTGGCTCTCCTAGGTCCTTTGAATTTCCACATGAACTTTAGAATTAGCTTGTCAATTTCTAAAAAAAAAAAAATAGAATGCCTACTGGAGATGTGATTGGCATTGCATTGAATTATAGATCGACTGAGGGAGAATTGACATCTTAACAACATTGTGTTTTCCAACCCATTAACACAGCATTTTTCTCCATTTACTTAGGTTTTCTTTAATTTCTCTCAGCGATGTTTTGTTGTTTGCAGTGTTCAGGTCTTGCATATCTTTTTTCAGATATATCCTTACATATTTCTTATTTTATGCTATGATAAATGGTACTGCTTTTTAAATTTTAATTTTCAACTGTTTGTTGCTAGTATATAGAAATACAATTGATTCTTTTACATCAACCTTGTACCCTACAATCTTGCTAAGCTCACTTACTACTTCTAGTAGCTTTTTCGTAGCATCCATCTGATAGACAATTATGTCTTGTGAGTAAAATCAGTTGTATTGTTTTCTTTCCAATATGGGAGACTTCTTTTTCTTTTTCCTACCTTACTGCACTGAATAGGACCTCCAATAAAAAGTTGAATAGAACTGGTGAGATTAGAATTAGACATCGTAGTTTTGTTTCCGATCTTAAGAAAAAACATTTAGTTCTTTTCTTATCTTTTTTCTTCTGTATATAGCATGCCTTTTTTTTTTCTGCCTGCTTCTAATTTTTCTCTTTAGCATTGATTTTTAAGCAATTTGACTATGAGACTTGGTGTAGTTTCTGCATCTTTCTTGTGCTTGTAGTCTGTTTAGTTTTTTTTTTTTTTGGATCTGGGGCTTAGTTTTCAAGTTTGGAAATTTTTCAACCATTATTTTTATAATTTTTTTGTTTCCCCCCCACTTTTTCTTTGAGGACTCCAGTTATAAGCATATTAGATCACTTGATATTATCTCACAATTCACTAATGCCTGTTAATAGTTTTTGTCTTCTTTCCCTGTTTCAGTTTTTTTATAGTTTCTATTGCTTTCCTTCAAATTTTTTCTTCTGAAATATATGATCTCTTGTTAATCCCACCCAATATGGTTTTCACTTCAGACAATGTAGTTTCCATCTCTAGAAGTTAAACTTGGATCTTTTAAAATATTTTCCATGTCTCATATTCAGTCTTCTCTCTAGCTTCTGAACATATGAAATATAGTCATAATAAATGTTTCAATGTCCTTGTCTACTAATTCTGTCATTTATCAGTCAGTTTCAGTTGATTTTTCTTCTCATCATGGGTTGTATTTTTCTGCTGCTTTGCATGACTGGAATTTTTAAAAATTTTTAATTAAATTATAGTTGGCATCAATAGCATTTTAGTTTCAGACATACAGCATAGTAATTTGACATTTATATACTTTACAATGTGATCACCACACTAACTCTAGTAGCCATCTGTCACCATGAAGTTACAACACTATTATTGACTATATTCTCTGTGTTGTACACTACATCTCAGTGACTTATTTATTTTATAACTGGGAGTTTGTACCTTTTATTCTCCTTCACCTTTTTCACCCATTCCTCTACAGCTCTCCCCTCTACAACCATTAATTTGTTCTCTATTTCTATGAATGTTTTTGTTTAGTTTTGTTTTCTTATTTTGTTTTTTTGTTTTTTGGTTTTTTTAGATTCCACATACAAGTGAAATCATACAGTATTTGTCTTTCTCTATCTGACTTATTTCACTTAGCATAATACCCACTAGGTCCATCCATGTTGTTGCAAATGGCAAGATTTCATTCTTTTTTATTGCTGAGTAATATTCCATTTTATATGTACCACATCTTCTTTATCCATTCATCTATTGATGAACACCCAGGTTGCTTACATATTTTTGGTTATTGTAAATAATGCTGCCATAAACAGAGGGGTACATATATCTCTTCAAATTAGTGTTTTCATTTTCTTTGGATAAATATCTAGAAGTGTAATTATTGGATAGTATGGTAGTTCTAATTTTAATTTTGAGAAATCTCCATACTGTTTTCCACAGCGGAGTGCCTGATAATTTTTTATTGAATGCCAACTAGATATTGTGAATTTTACCATGTTGGGTGCTGGATATTTTTGTATTCCTGTAAATATTCTTGATTTTTGTCCTGGGATGTGCCTAAGTTACTTGGAAACAAGTAATGTGATCCTTTTAAGTCTTGCATTTAAGAATTGTTAGGCAGGACCAGGCCTGCGTTTAGTCTAAGGGTATTGTTTC